TTGAGTACACGATCTGGTACGTGCAGATACGCACACTGATCAGCAGTGAATATTCGCTAGTCCGCTACAATCACTGATAAGGATGACATCAATGCGACTTAATGAGTCTCAAATATTAACTTTTTTCCACCGACAAATTAAATTCTAAAACATTTTTTGATGTATTAGAAAAATAAATAAAGACGTTTGACGTATTTGTAGGTAAAAATTATTTCCTATTTAGTGTAAGTGGGTATTAAAATGACTAAAAGACAACATTCTGCCCGAAGCAGTAACGTCTTATCTAAACAATGCACGCACCATTCAGCAATGATTGACGCCGCGTGCTGTGACGGCACGTGTTAAAGGCAGTCATCTTTTACAGAGATATTAGAAGACTCGTAATTCTCTGTGAAACAGATTGGCAGATACGTTTCGATACGATCAACACGATTGCTACGACTGACCTCAATATATAAGACCTGATAGGATCACCACGATTACTCCACGATTAAAACCACGATTTTATTGTCAATCGTAGCGTGAATCGTGAAGATCAATTGCATTAAGACATATTTAACTCTAAGTTTACAAGGGATATGTAGCGGGATGCGGCGACTGGGTGGTTTAACGCGTGCGATTTAGATCATAATGGTTTCGATTCCCGCCTTGCACGTAACAAAGAGTAGGGTCACCTGTCCAATCTCTTGGGTTTTCCTTACACTGGAGGAAAAGACCTCCACGCGTACGGGTATTATTGAACTAAAATTGAACCATATTTTAATCCCGAATTGACCTGTTTTATGTCGAGTGAAGGTTACCCTCCCCCTCTCTTCCCCCCCCCCCTCTCTCTCTCTCCCGAAAAGACCTGTTTTATGTCGAGTGAAGGTTATCCCCGCCCACCCCCTCTCTTATTTTAACTTCATATATACAGGATACATAAACAACTACAACAACTGTAGGTCTTATATTTGAATATGTCTGGGATTATTTTTTTTTATATTTCACAAGAGATATGTCAACTGTCTGGTCAATCGCCAAGTAGGGTGATGTATTTGCCTATATCACACAATCAGGAACTCGCTTTCTGATCTGACAGAAAAACACACAATAAATGGTACGTGTAGAATTCGACAATAATTATAGCTCTAAATGTCCCCAAGCTTCTTCATTTTTTTAAAAAAAAAAAAGATCAAAATAGAAATACTAGATATAGTCCGGGAGCTAGGTGGGTTTTATTCAACATGGAAGGTGCGGAAGGTTTGACATGCTAGTGGTGTATGGCTGGGTTAGGAGACCCCAGAAACCCAATTCTTAAGTTGCGCCAGTGGTGCGTGTGGTAGGAGGAGCCAGCCATAGTACCCCCAAAAATGGGTTTATTCAACATGGAAGGTGCAAGTGCAACTTCAATGGCATTTGATAGAGGAATGTGCCCTGAATTCGGAAATATGACTTAAGAATAGGATTTTTTGTGGAAAGGCCACTTAAGAAGAGGTCAAAGGTCACTAATTAGCAATTTTTCGATTTTACTGAAAACGATTTTTCCATTATCTCGTGATCTATTCCAAGTATATTGCACAAAATTACATGGACATTTTTGATACTGCTAGGAGCAAAAATATGAGACATAAAATTAATGAAGTTTTAGCTAAAAGTATGACATAATCTCAAAAATAACGAAAATATCACTCGATCCCCATCGGTAATTAAATGTTAATCAACATGAAAGGTGCGATTGAGGAAGGATAGCCTAAATTGTACGGAATGATATCAGAAATCATTATCATCAGCTTAAGAATGAAATTTCTGGTGGTCAGCGTACTTAAGAAGAGAATAATGCTGGTTTGCACCGAATGACCCCTAATTAATTAACATGCAAGGTGCGACATTGGAACAAGGTTTAAAATGTAGGGACTGATCATAGGATTCACAACCACTAACTTAAGAATGAATATTTAGGTGGTAAATGAATTTAAGAACAGCAGATGTGACCAATAGCGGAACGTAAGCAGCACATAAATACCATCAAGGAGCAAAAAGAACTGATCGACGTTAAACACAACCCCGCTCGTTTTAGAAGACAATGTTGACGTGTACTATTTTTACATATGGGATAGAATATAGTCAAAATGGTTCATCCATATCGTCTACGCGCAAATACAAGATATAAGTTGTGTGAAGACGAAGTTGTAAAATGATACGGGGAGAGGATATGATTTCGACCAAACACGCAATCTGTTCATTTTTGTTTTTGTACTTGAAAATTTATATCCTAAAAACAAAAGTTGATATTTCTTTGAAAATTCAATAATAGCATTAAGCCATGCGGTTTTTCGCTACTGTATTATAATGATTAAAGGACAGATCTTTGTACTTGAAAATTTATATCCTAAAAACAAAAGTTGATATTTCTTTGAAAATTCAATAATAGCATTAAGCCATGCGGTTTTTCGCTACTGTATTATAATGATTAAAGGACAGATCATTTTAGCGGAAGATCTTGCTGTTATATTATATGGTTTGCCGCGGGGCCTGGTCTTCTTAACATTATAGAATTATCTACATGATTTACATATCATTGTCTGATTTATATCATGGACATACACTCCACGAACAATTACATTGTAACTCGAAGACACAGACAACGCCGCATTGAAGCCCTGACCTCCTGTATTTATTTAAAGTACCCCTCCCAGCTAAACAATAATTTTGCAGTACATCTACATATAAAAATATATTTAGTATCTATTTCTATGATCTGCACTAAAATATAGCGTCTACAATTTGTCCATTAATTCATTTCTCAATTCGACCATCTAAACTTTGGTTTTATGACCGCACATAATTAATACAGTATCTACAAGCTGCCCATTATTAATAATATTCGTTTCTCCAGTCCAACATCTACACGAATATGGATTTTGTGTTTTTACATTTTAGTTTCAACATTTTATATACGATAGCAATATTTTAAACTGATGATTGTTTTTTCTACACTGCTATGTCAACATTGCATGCCCAAAATCAAGATTTGAAAACGAAATACTGACTTCATGTTTCATTTTCGGCTTTTTATCCGTAATAATTATATATCAATAAACATGTCCTGTTTTTTACACGCCCACATTATATTGTAGTCGCCCCTATTCTGGACGTCCGTCCACAAATTGTTTGTGGACACTACAGGTCACAATTCTTATCCGATTTTGACGAAACTTGAAATATAGGTGTATCTCCAAAAGATCTTGGTTCCGTTCGATATTGGCATGTATCTGATCGAAACTTCATGGATTATCACCCCTGATTGTACGACACTCTAGAGGTCACAATTTTCATCTGATTTTGATGAAACTTGAAATACATCTTCTTTGAATGGCATTTAGCAATTGACATACGTAATACAAAAAACATAATATGGAACACAATTTGCTTGAAAACGTTGAGAGAACCCTCAACGAAACGTCGCTTTAAATAAAATAGTAATTGTGTTCCATATTATGTTGTTTTTTTTCTTGAAATACATGTTAATAACCCAACGATCCTGGTTCATGTCAATATTCGCGCATATCGGATCGTAACTTTCTGAATTATGGCCCTTGATTGTACGAAAAATCGTGTTTTTAGCTTGTGGTCCCTCTAGAGGTAACAATTTTTATCCCATTTTTATAAAAAAAAAAACCCGTTAGAATATTACCAATTTACACCTTAATGATGGTTGAGTTCGAAGTTCGTGAGAGTCGGACCAAAACTACCGGACAAAATGGCCGCCTCTCGTACGCAAATAGTGTAAATATATGGTATATCAAGTTTGTGGACCCTCTAGAAGCCATAATTGTGATCCAATTTTGATGAAACGTGAAATACATGTTTATAATCGAAAGATCTTATGGTTTCTTTCGATATTTGCGCATATCGGACCGTAACTTCCTGGAGTATGGTCCCTGATTGTAAGGAAAATCACGTTTTTAGCTTGTCCCCCCCCCCCCCACTAGAGGTCACAATTTTTATTCGATTTAAAAAGCGTTTAAATTTATCACCATTACATCTTAACACCATTAAACCGAGGGTCTTCTTAACGAGACTAATCTATAGTTTGTATCAAAGTTTTACTAATACGCTAACACCCTCTGGTGTAATAATGTTGGAATTCATTATTTTTTCTGGACATTTTCATTTCCAGATTTTAACTTCAAGACTTTCTGAAATGTAGAAAATATTTTCATAAGAGTTGATATTTCAGATTTTTTTTAGATACTTTCATAATTTATTTCTTTGTCAAGTAAAAATAAGAAAATATTTTTTAATTTTAATATTTGATGATTTAGAAATATTACCAATAAAACGCCGAAAATGAAACATAAATTCAATGTGTCGTTTAAAACGTCGATCTTTGGGCATGAAATGTTAACATAAGAATGCAGAAAACCGAATCGTGTACGAGACTGCGTTTCAACGCCATTTGTAACAAAAGACTCGAAGAACGAGGCTAGACACATTCCACGAACCATGTCAAACAGTGACGTCGTGTTCTTATCATGAGAGCATGCACAATAGATATTACCGATGTTGACTGGAATAACCAGACGATAGAGATTGCCATTCGATTGAGTCCATAACTGATTTGAAATTAGAGTAAAAACGGAAACGATTGAATGTAATTCAGTTTATCCACATTCATATTTGTGTCAATTTCTAGGTCCAAAATATTAGCGATTTAGCCTCTTTAAGCATAGTTAAATTGTAACCTAGAGCCAAATGAACAAAAAGAAACACGAAAATAACATTCTTTAGAAAAACGGCTACCAATTAGTTAGAACCAGGGAGACAATGTTGCAACTCGTCGCTAAATTCCACAATATCAAACCTCCTATGCTAATGCTACGAACAATAAGTAACTGTGAGCTATGTGTCCGTAGCGAATAATTGCCGCTAGCCTGTTCACTAGCATCACGACGAAAAGGTTATCGATTGTACCACATACAACGGTTGATAGTGTATCCAGTAACGACAGCTCTGTTAGAGATAAAACTTGCTTTAGCAACACCAATATATCACTTTCAGTTAAATCGTGAAAGCGGACATAAAACTTTTATTAAGTTTTATTCAACTAGTTGACATCTTTCAATTTTAACAGGTAAGGCTCATTCATTACTTATATTTTATAATTAACTTCCTCATTGTTGAGTTTCATAACAATGGTTCCCCTCTTTGGTTCATGTATTTTTATTCTAACTGCGGCATAGACTCTGTTAATTTTCTTATCAGCAAAACCTAGAATGTCATCTTTTTGTAACGTTGAAAAATTTTATAAAATTCTTCATCGCTGAGTGTCATACAAAAGGCAAGGCATATTTATGGGTTTTTTTATTCAAAGTACTTCACAGATTTTTATTGATGTTCCTACCAGCAAAACCTACAGTGCTAACTTTTTTTAAAACAAATTAAATAAACGTCCTCTTTATTGAGTGTTATGAAAAGATTTTGATTTTAAGTGCGACATAGACGCTATTGTTGTTCGTATCAGCAGAACCTATAATGTCAACTTTATGTTGCTTTGAAAAAAGGAAAAGACTACCAAATTTGATACACATTCCCATTGTTTGCTTGTCATACAAATAGCAGAGCATGTTTATGTTGTTTTTTTTTTCATTCTAATTACTAAACATAGTATGCTGATTTGAAATGTATATACTTATTTTACTTTGTTTTCCGGAAATATAACAGAATCTGTCCAAAGACGGGACGACATCTTTGTGTGTTTTTCATGTATCGTGATGCGGTGTGGTTCTCCATTTAGATTTCTAATAGTAATTGGCACAGGTAGAGGAATTTTTCTATGAAAGAAACGAAGTGGTTGTTCTTGAAAATTGTCCTTTATTTGCAAGGTTTTGTATCTTGGAAACAATGGAACTCCTCGTGCTGTATTGTGACGATTCCACTTTGATGCCGTTCCATTTCTCTATTTAGGGAAAAGCTAACTAACTAACTTCAAAATCTAAGATTAAATAGCTATATCATCCGAAGTCTTTGACATTGAAAACACGAATTATTTGTCTACTTAAATCAACATTGATGTTAGTATCTTATCGGGAAAAGATGGGCTTTGATATCCAATATTAAGACAAAATAAACATTTTACCATTAGTACACGAATTGTGTGACATAATGCGTTTCAGCGCCATTTGTAACAAGGGACTCGAAGAACGAGGCTATACATATTCTACAAGTCATGTTAAACGGCAACGCCATATTCTTATCTGCGTTAAATACTAACGGCGTAGACTGGAATAACCAGACGCTAGAGATTGCCATTCGATTGAGACTTATGGCGTATTTCGCCGAACATAACTGATTAGAAATTACAGTAAAAACTTAAACGATTGAATGTAAATCAGTTTATATACATGTACATTCATAATAGATTATTATAAACGATGTGACCCATTTGAGTTAATATCTATGTCCCAGATATTAGCGATTTAGCTAATTTAATTATAACTAATAATAATGATAATCATAATGAAAGTGAGTTTTGTATAGCGCAGTTTATCCATATAAATGCTCGGCGAATAAACTAACGTCCAAATCTAGATACCGGTCTCAAAAATGACAGGTAGCGCAAGGGCGAGCCATTCACCAGACAACATTCATAATTAAATTTAAAACCATATTATATACAAAGGAGTACAGTGATATTTGGTAAGAAATGCAAAATTGTACATAAGAAACAGGTGTTTAAATAAAGAAGATGATTTGGACTTAGGAAGAAATTTAAAAACATATTATATACAAGCAGCGGAGTACACTGATATTTGGTAAGAAATGCTAACTGGGTAATCAAGACTTTTTTTTTATCGTACCGATTTTATGATGATCGGGGCTAGCCTAAAATTCAAAAGCTAATGGCCCTGCTTGATTTGTCAATACCGGCTGACCACAGTTCGGCAGTTTTTGCGCGAGGTCACTTGATTTCACCGGAAGTTGACAGAAGTTCGACTGCGGCGTCCGCCGAATGCGCCGGTTTGGTGTCAGCGGCGAACACCGGCGCAAGATGGTGAACATGTCAACGAAATAAAATTCACGTTATTTAGGAATGCCATAAAACACTAATTTTAAAGCGTTAAAATTAAACCAAATGTTTTGAAGTTGAATTTGAGCTTCGTAAAACCAGGTCATATGTCATTTATTTTTTCTCAGTAATATTACTAATAATGATTTTCTGCTTATTTTGCGGGCACTTTCAAGTCATACTTTCAAGAATACTGTTTTTGATTAAAACATGTCATGTAACCGGTTTAATATTATAACATTATCCGACGCCATATTGTTTATCAGCTGGGTCATTTGATTTGCTTCGATACGGTGACCTGACCGGCGTACGCCGTAGTAGAAACCGGCTCACCTATCGGCGGACAAATCAAGCAGGCCCATATCTCGGTTCAGAGTGGAGCAATTTGACTGACATCTTGAGCATATCCTATTTACGTTATATATTCATTAACTGTTATAGCGAGAACCGCCAACTCTTTATCTAATCTCCCATAATGCCCATTTAAGTATAAACTCAAATAGTTAAAAGAATTGTGAGATAGCAATTGGGACATTGGTAATTTGCTACTTTGAACAGAATTAAATCATAATTAATAAGTCTGCAGAGATACATACTTATAAAAATTTGCCGGTTTCATGCAAGGCACCTCGTTTATTTACCATTCCGACGTCCACCGAAGAATGGATGACAATTATCGTTTAAAGATGCATTATGTAAGAGCTAAATCTTCCTATTGTAGGTCTTTATTTTGGCTTCAAATGTTATAAGAACTATTATTTGGACATTAAATTTATTCACGTGTCGGTCCCATTATCAACTCTCTAGGACGGCGTTTCCCAACCTCTGGGTCGCGAGCACTTTTCGTGGGGTCGCGGACTAGTCTGAGAACTTTTAAAAAAATGTTATCTTTTTATGTAATCTATTTATACATCTTCAATAGAATGTTTGGTCTCGCTTTATCTCCGTACATCTTATCAAGGCCTTCACTTAACACTCTACAATCTACATTTTTCGTCACTAATTTCGATTGGTCTAGGACCCAGCTCTAGACCTCTCAGATTCCTCGATAGAAAATATCATCGCGGCGAATACCAAGTCTCGCGCTTTCCAACTGAAATATCTACCTGTGATAATCGAGTTACAAAGTTCAAGGTTCGTTCAATGTCAAGGCTGCTGGAAATTTCCAAAACAAATAGACTTGCCGCTGCTAATTTTCGATTGCTTTTCCGTGAGTTTTTCAACTGAAAAAAAAAACCTTTAACGGCTGTAAACTTATCTATTCATTGAACATCTTCAGTCACTGATCGATCAGTTCGAACACTACTTCCCCGAGCTCGACGTCCAGTCATTCACCGTGGTCCGAGACCCATACAGTGCACCATTAGACGCCATCACCGACGGTGATATCGCTCAAGAGGAGCTCGTGAGACTGCAGCAGGATTCCGGAGCTAAATCACTGTACAAGTCCTTGTCTTTGTCCAGTTACGGGGGGGGGGGTCACGTTGCTAAGTGGGTAAGACGCTGGCTCGCTAGCCTGGAGGTCGGGTGTTCGATCCCTGCATTGGCCGAGAAAGTTCATCCAGATTTTCCGGCGTGGTTTCCCCTTGTCAGTGATGCAGGACGGAGGGCCTGACAAGGAAAGCTGTCTTGTCGTTCGGATGGGACGAAAAACCGAGGTCCCGTGTACACATTGGCGTTCACGTAAAAGATCCCTTGGCAGTTGGAATTCTATATAGTAGACCGTAGTGCCGCTGTCCGGGCAAAATTTCCCTCATAGCACACTGTATGGGTATGCCCGTCTTCATTAGCCCAAATCGGAGCAGAACAGTAGGACGTTAAACCCCATATCATTTCATTTCATTTTAGTTGTCCAGTTACTGGTGCAAAATGCTTGAATCCTATCCACGTCTATCCAAGAATACAACACGGCTCCTTATGCCGTACCCGTCGTCATGCCTATGCGAACAGTCGTTTTCTACAATGGTTGTGATAAAAACAAAATTTAGGAACCGGCTTGAAATAGAAAGGGACATGATTGTCGCGCTGAGTGGCGTTGAGCCACGCATTGAAAACCTGGTCGCTGAAAAACAGGCGCGACCATCACACTGATTAAAAAAATCAATAATTTGTTATCAGACTTTTAATAAGTAAACAATAATAAAAGTGAATGATAATGATGTTTCATAGTGTGAGAGAGAGAAATGGGGTTTAACGTCCACTCGACACAAACTAGGTCATTTCGGGACTAACATATGGTTTAATTTTATTTACATAATTCGCTTGCGCGTAGGGGTCTTTAGCAGTGGGAGAAAACCGGAGGACCCGGAGAAAACCCACGAGGTTGGACAGGCGACCCTACTCCTTGCAACGTACAACCGGGGATTCGAATCCACGCCAGTCGACTCAATGACAGACTTTATGATACAGCGCGCGCACGCTAATCATTCAGCCATCCAACCCCCCCTTTTTAATGGAGAGAATTACGATTACCATTTAAGAATTTAGTTTAAAAATGGATAATCGAGACTTTTTTTTATTTTCGTAACAATGGTAGCAATAAATTGGACTGAAATTTTCAATATATCCCTAATTCATTCTTTATTTCAAACGTGGGTAGCGTGACTAAATGGGTAAGACGCTGGCTCGCTAGCCTGGAGGTCGCGTGTTCGATCCCTGCATTGGCCGAGAAAGTTCATCGGGATTTTCCGACGTGGGATCCCCTTGTCAGTGGTGCAGGGTGGAGGGCCTGACAAGGACAGCTGTCTAGTTGTTCGGATGGGACGAAAAACCGAGGTCCCGTTTATGCATTGCATATTGCACGTAAAAGAACCCTTGACAGTTGGAATTCGATATTATAAGAGTAGGCCATAGTGCCGCTGCTCGGACAAAATTCCCCTCATAGCACACTGTATGGCATATGCTCTTTATTAGTCCAGTCGGAGCAGAACAGTAGGACCTTAAACTTCGTTTCATTTTATTTCATTTTTATTTCAAACTATTTAAACTGTCACCTCTTTTGTCTAAATCTTACATAGTGCAACGTTGATAAAACAACAGGAAATATGATTTTGTTTTTGTAGTTT